CAGCATCTAACAATCAGTCAAAGCCTGGGATAACAACTCAACAGTACACCAAAATAACCATCACACATGCTGTGCTCAATTTCTCCCCCATTTGCTGAATACATTAACTCATAATCCAGATGTAACAATAGCAAACCTCACTATCTCCTTTTCAGCATCTGGAAGTTTGACAGCAAATAAAACAGTGGTCTTCATTCCTGAATGGTTATACCAGTGTTAAGGGCTACAATCGCAGTGTTGATTGTTGATAAAGCTTAACCTCAGAAGAATTTGGAGGCAAACTTTTGCCTCTAGAAATACAGAGGTCCTCCAAGGGGGACTCAGATTTTCTAAATCAAACATCTGCTTTTAATCTGCCTCTGAAAGTTCCAGCCTCTGTACTTCTCATGAGCACTGGAAACATAGAAGACAAAAGTTATGATACACGATATTAACCTTTAGCTACTTCTCTTGCTTTTAATCTCTAAATAAGATTTAAGTTTTAATGAGAGCTTGCAAGGGTTCGACAACAAGGTATTTCAGAAAACTGTTTCTTGAACTTTTTTAATTGAAATACCTCTTCATCTCATCTGGAAAGGAGCAAGTCATGCTGGTACCATGGTTTTAATCTGTACAAAAGTCTGTTGAACTCTTAATTTGATCTCCCAATATCAAGTTTGTACGTGAGAACACTGCGTTAAGGTCTTAAAGACATGGTCTTTACCCTGGTCTAAAATAAATCACTGTAAATTTACAGATCAGAGACTGCTCTAGAGGAGGCATAAGCAGTATTATGATGGCTCCAAAGCTTGATCAAGTTCTCACAAAGTTTCCAATGGCAGAATCAATTCAATACAAAGGTCATCTCTGTATCCCTTTTTATATAAGACGAGCTTTTAAAATTATTTTAGGTATTCTCTCATATTTCCAATAACATGTCATTTTCTTTGACTAAACTACTAAAGAGTTGGTGTTTCCTCCACGAAATTGCAATTCCAAGTTTTCCTTAATATTTCATGGTGCTTTCAGATTAAGTCAGTATTTTTTTTTCTCCTCATTTTGCTCCTGGCTGGTAAACTTCAAGTTCAGACTAAAAACCTTCATGAACAGAGCAAAAAATTATGGAAACCTACTATAACAGCTGTGCATACAGTTTGTGTAGATGCTTAAGTATCATGAACTCTGCCGTTTCTATAAATAGAAATTATGTCTCAGAATATTTCCTGGTAAAGTCATTCAAATCAGCATACTGTTTGTCTTTCACTTCTGAGAGAACGTAACATCAAGTACACTTGACCAATACATCCTACCAGCATTACATTTAGAATGTCTTCCTGAAGCCATATTTTGCATGTATGGTGAACACTAAAGCCACATGACAAAAATTCTTCAACCAGTGTCTGGGAAAAGAGCTACCCACACACTTAAAAACACAAACTTACAATGCTATATACCTATTCAACACAAAGAATATGTAAAGTTAGAAATGTGTTTTTGGAAAATAGATTTCTCCTGCAGCAAAAAAGAATCCTTCGTTTTTATTCTAAGATAGAACTGAGACTCACAATATGCATCTCATTTAAGCATAACCATAATTATCAACATTGTATATAGATAGTATTTAAAGAATTTATTCCACTTTACTGAAGTACTCCAATGGTTAGTTTCATTGCACTTATTTCTGTCTCTTCCAGCAAGCCATGTAATCTATAAATGTAGTTATAGTTGTTGAAGTGAATAATATAAGAGTCAAGTACAGAGACTTCACTTATCTACAAGATATTCCCCTGCAAACAGAGGACTGCACTGGGTTTCATGTTGGAAGGCACTTTGTGCACAGTGAGACACCATTATAAGAAAGCATCACAGACCATTACATGACAAAAAGATACATTCTGAAACAGATAATAAGTTCCAGACCTAGCTGGTATCTGATTAAAGATGGTTAATGCCTTGCACACCAGAACCCACTTCCACAATTTCTGGTTAAAAACAAATGCATTTGTACTAATCTTGGTACTAAATTGGCCGAAACTGGATAAATCATTATCAAGGTCTGAAACAGTGAAATGCTAAATATAGAGGGATTGAAGTAAAAAGCTACCTTTAGCCAGAAGAAAGCATTCCAAGATGATGTCCAGAAAGTAGTGCATCCATTAGCACCAGATAAATCATCCACTTGTCATGTGCAACCTCCAGCTGCTGGGCAGCAGTGAGCACTCAGGGCTTAGCAACCCTGCTGCACAAGAGCAAGAGAGGCAGCTGAAGGAAAAACCCTGCAGGACCTGGGTCGTGCTCCTCACTACTTCACCAGTGAGCAGTAGGGATGACTGGTGAGAGGGCTTCAGCAGATCAGGGTGCCTCCTCCTCTGTGATCTGCAGGACCACAACCCTCACCTTTGTACTTCAGGGCATATGCAGCACTTTGACTAGAGAAGATAAGTACTCTTGGCTGCTTGTACATTTTCCAGAACATGAACATGTGTTCATTCACAACCAGTACAGAAAACCCAATTGGTATGAACTTCAAGCCTTTGGAAGATTTACCTTCCACTAACGCAAACTATATCCCAAACTCATGTATTCCAGTAGTTGATTTAGAGGAACTCTCCAGACTAACAGTTGGGTGTCAAGAATGAAAAGACCCACTCCCCATAACAAGCACAGTCTGGTGCTTTGGAGGTGTTTCAGAAATAAGGTTTGGCTAGTTTTAAGACAAATTACATTAAGAACATGTAGCATTTCTAATGAAATGCTTTGTATTTGCCCTAATTAATCTCATAATTACATCTCATTCTTATATGAAAGAAAATACAAAGTACTAACCAGTAAAGCATAAGTGAAACTGGTGCTGCTTAATGCCAGCTGACGCAAGTTTATGTCTTTATTTGCCTTCCAGGTAATGCCTCCAAAATACATCAAGAGTTACTGTATTGCCCTTTTGTTTTTCATGAGTAAACCTCACTGTTTTTCCCCCCACTGAACTGGTGAATGAAGTTACCATCCACACCTGTTGTGCACAAATTAACTTATTATTGCCTTCAGAACAATAAGGTTGAAGGATTAAACTGAAGAAGTTTTCCTCTTAATCCAAGAAATAACAGAAGAATAGAAACTGCAGTCGTCATGCAGTAACTGGCTTCCAGAAACAATTTAGATCTAATTTCTTTACACCATTTCCTGGCTGACCCAAAGATAAGCAAATGGAAGATGTAAGGGTACCCTCATTGCTAGTGTTAATACACATAATATTTACAAAATACATCTTTGGAGACCTATTTCAGCCCTGAGACATGAACATATTTTCTATGTACTGGAAGATCAGGCATTCAAGCAATGTGAAGTGCCAGGAAATGAATCCAGAGTTTATTTTAATAGATTCATTGTTACCTGCAGACACAGACTAAGCAAGGATTTCCTTCAGCAGTGAAGTGAATAGCTTCACTTAGTGAATAGCCTTTACAGCTGCTGTAATGACTGCCTTATTCAACATCTCAGTTGATAGTTGTCTGTGCCATGTTAGTTTGTTAAACTGACACCCACACAACAGAGAAAACAGTTCTAATTTTAATCTCCATACTCTAAACACAAGTAGATTCCTCACATGTTTATGGTAGAATTGAGAAGTGATATCCAACCAAATGTGATTATCAGACATGGGTCTGAATTAGCCAGCACTTCAGATATCCTTAAGGCAGAAGCTGCTTTAGGGCTAAGGACTCACCCCTCTTCCTGAATTCAGTTCCCTGCTGCAGCCCACAAAGCTGTCTGAAACAGGGGCACATCACAGAAACGTTTGGGAGGTTGCCAGAGTTGTACCACACAGTAGATATTCCCTTAAATAGATGACTGTGGGAGTATTAAGGATATTTAGGGCCAATACCAGGCAGCTGAATAGTTAAAAAGGAGAGGGAGAAAGACCTTCCACAGCATACATCTTCCTTCCCCATTTTGTGAGATACAGCTGGATTTGTTCCACAGTTTTCTCCCCCTCTGATTTTGTTTGTTCTCATTTTTAATCACTCACATTGTTTACATTAGAAATGCATGAAAAAGATGTTAGAGAATGACATTGACAGCAAAGAAACCTTAAGTTTCCCTGTTTTCTGAACTTTTTCTCCTCTGTGCATGCTGGGGACACTTCATACAACCTTCTGGTCCTTACAGCCTGAGGAGCGTGCTGGCAAATGATTCACCTCCCAGGCATAAGGATAGTCCTGTTGATTTGAATTAATGTACTGCTGCAATGGGGAATCATTTATTTCTGTGCCTCCCCTCCTGTCTTCCCCATACAAGTTTTTTTTTTTTTTTTTCCACATACTCATACACAGAAGTACATATGTGTAAATAAATGCATGCTCACACGCAAAGCAAGTCTTGTTTCTGTGGCACTAAAGCAAGATGCAGTTACATATCAGACAACAAAAGCTGACAATTAGACAATTGTAGGTCTAAAGCTAAATGAATGACTTGCCATACTAGTGTCTAATTAAGAAACATCAAAGCGTGCCACAGCCAAAGAGTACATATGGCTGAGGAACTTCAGAAGTAAGTGTTGGTCAGTAGGATATTACTGCCATTACTGCTCCAGCAAAAGGTCAGATTTGAAAGAGTTTTCTTCCTTTCTTGAAATAGAAAATGTGATCTCAAGAACTTCTTCAGTATGGAGCTCCTGTAGCTACAATAGTGCCTGAGAATAGCTGTAATTTATAGATGCCTCTCCCCAGTCTCCTTTCAGCTGATTTCATCACTATCACAACAGTAGGACTCAATGGGTACCATGACAGCTATGCAGCATACTATGAACAGTTCTTGAAGTAGCTGTAACTCCTTGTGGCTTAAAGCCTTTTTTTTTTTTTTTTAATCACATACTCAATAAAGGCCTTTTCAGTGTATTGGCATACATAAAAGAGATCTAAATTGCTTTTCTTGACCAATACTCAAAAATTCAAGAGCTGTAAGTCTCTTATCAAGGTAATTTTTCCCAACAGCATACAGGGAGAAACCAGGGGAACACTCACCTCTGCTAACCGCAGCATTCTAGATGCACTTCAAAAATAAAACCACAAATACCCAGTATCATTTAGGTATCAACAGCCTAATCTACCTGATCTTCTTTGTCAGTCAACTTTAGATGTCAAAGGAAGCCACAGATACTAGGTCATCTCTGCCAGCCCTGCACAACCCCTTCTAGGTAACCCAAAAGAGCTAAACTGCTTTGAAACCTTATATTTAAGCAATTGAATTCCCACCCCAGGTGTTTAGACTACACTTTTCATCTGGGATCCATCTGTAGGCAATTAGGAAAACAAGGTGTTTTCAGCAGGTGATTCATCTAACTTAACAGCTATCCAACATCTAACAGCTATCATGCAATGGGTAGCTCTTTCTTCAGCAGCTCAAAGTCTTAGCTAGCCTAAACAAGGTATATTTAAAAGGAGATGTGCCAATACTTGCTATTTTTATAAGGGCAGTGAATTTCAAATTTATCTACCTTAAAGACAGTAATTAGAAAAAAAAAAAATCTAAGGAAAAAAATAAATAAATGCAGGCCCTCGAAAAGCAGTGCATCCTTCCTTTTCAGATATTCCTGTTTTTAAGAGGCAACGTTGTCCTCTTGCTAGACAAGTCCTTAAGTCAGAGCACAATGACAGCATAGGCTGCCTGTTATCTAATAAACATAATCAGTTCTATGGCCTGTTTTCCCTTCTCATCAATATAGTTTAAACAACATGACAGGTATAGCTTTTATTTGTTTTCTTGTTTACTTTAATGGCATGACTTACTGTCTGCGTGAGGGCCACTCCATTGGCCTTTAAAAGAAAAAAGGTGGTAAATTGACAGTGGTCTGAAGAAATTGCAGGAACCAATTATTCTTCTACCAAGTGTCAAACAATATTTTTGTTATTATACATCCTTGGGTACCTAAACCTTCATTTTTTGTAGAGATTTTCAAACAAAGAGAAGAAAAGAGATACCTGTTGACTCCAGTGCATATATATACTTACATATATGGTAAAAGATCTGTCACAAGCCACAAATCTATGGCAATTCTGGCCCTACTGAAATCAAAACCAGCATGCATAGCTTGGAGGCAGTAAATTAAAGATAACCATGACTGCTCCTGGCTCTGGGGCCAGGAGCCACCAAGCACCCTGACCCCCAGCTGGCCTAGCTGTGGGCAGGGTGCCAACATGGTCCTTGGGCCATGCTGAGTCTCACAGTCATTCCCAGGAATTGTTTGGCAATGTGTTGATTCATCTGGGCTGAAACTGTTCAAAAATCCAGTATGGGACTGTGTCCCAGTGTCCAGGGGCCTACATGTCCTTCCTGACTGCAGCACTGATGCCAGGCATCTCTCTTAAGAGTGGCTCAGTAGCAGTCTCAGGGACAAGACTTCTGATCTGGCACTACTTGCTGGGTGCTAGCGTGAAGCTCGGTGTTCCTCTGACCACCACAAAGAAGGGAAGACTGCAAAGGTGAAGAGGAACCAGACTGCATGAACCCTGGTGCCAGGAGAGCCAGGTACCTGCAGTGGGAGCACCTCAGGGATCCATTGCTGGAGCATCTGAAAATAGAGAGTGCTGAGATTTTCTTGGTGGAGATGTGGATCCAGCTGTGCAAAGCTGGTAGAGAGCTGTATGCTGGGCAAATGGGAGGTTCTTCACACCCTGAGAGTCAGCAGGGTACTACCCAAAATCTATATGAGTATTCAGACATTCAGCATTAGCTCCAGCTGAAGGGAAGCCAGCAAAGAAGATCACAGATACTACCCATGGTCAAAGATGACAAATGAGATAAGGCAATTGAAGTTTTGAATTAAATTTGTGGTTGGGTTGAAGAAAGAACCACATGGTTCTTTTCAATATTTTCTGGAAGTATTAGTACCTCAGGAACACCTTTGGTTGTTTTAAGCATTTTACATGAGTCTTTCTGTAGCTGTTTCATCCATTTAACACTACTAATTCCTGGGGTTCCTAACTCTTGCTGTATGGGAGGGAGCACGAGGATATCAATCCAAACCTGCCAAAGATTTTTGTATGAGTGATCTTTTTCTCATTGAGACTGGGATTCTGGGCAAATGCTGACTTAGGCTAAAGAAATGCCACAATTGTTTAGCACAGATGATGCTTTATTTAACTAAGAAACTACTGAGAAAGAGTCAATATTCTTTTATGACCATTTATTCCAGAATTCACAGAAACTTTGTCTTCTTTACCTCCAAAACATGAATAAATTCCACTGTGTCCCACAAAGAGGATGCCCTTTCTGAAATAAATGTGAATCTCATTCAGAAAAGAAGGCCAATTATTTATTTTAGAGACAATACAAAGCGAAGGCTCACCATAAGAGCTTTTGGTTCCTTGTGCTTCTTATTTAAAATAAGGCTTATAGTATAAAGCAAAAATACAGAAGTACCTATGTTTGGAGTACAGTTTCAGGGAGGACAGAGAACAGCAGGCTTATTTCTAATAGTGTTCCCTCTTTTGCCTTTGAAAATGTAGTAAAGACATGCTGTATCTTCTCCCTATTTCAGGCAGCTGAGAGAACCCCCTGTGGGTCATATTTTCTCAGATTTTTGACAACCCATATTAAGCACGTTGAGACATGGAGAGAGATTTACAGTGATACTACTCTTTTAGTTTCCAAATGATTTGTTTATCACATAATCATTTATGGTTAAAAAAATTAGATGTTGGAATTAAATTGTTTTGTATATAGCATTGTGAATATAAATGGACACTTTGATCACTAACTGACACAATAGATTGTCTCCCTGAGAATAATTTAGATATTAGACTTATGTGTGCTTGCCTGCCATCATGCCTATAAGTTAAGCTACTTAATATGATTAGCTTCTGAAATGGAATTTACTGAATCAGACAAGACAAGAGAAAATGAGGAAATAAAGTTTTCTTTACTGATGAGCATTGCAAATACTGCACATCATTTTGGCTATGGGAATCTGAGCTTTGTCTTGTTTTAATTTCTGGCAGAGAACAGAAGTCACACAAACACTGTCTTCTCTTCAGATGACAGTTTAAATGATAGGGTTTAAGAAGCTCAAATTTAGACTTAGTTTATGAGAAAATCATTCACACATTATGTCAGCTCTACCAAAGGAATCATACAGAGATCGAAGACCGTAAGAATCATGATTGCTGAATTGTTCTAATGACATCCATTTCCTCTGGATCCACAAAGATAAATCTCAGACCAGACTTTGGTCTGTGGTTTAGTATGGATTAAAAAAAAAGAGAGACTAGAGGAGGGAAATGGAAAAGGGAAAAGAAAAGGGAAGGATAAAAGGAAGACTTGCAAGTTTGACAATCAGAATGTCTGCACTATCACCACTTCCATTGGCAGCAGTGCTACTAATTACCCTTGCTATAGCAAGCAATTGATCTTCTAGTCATTATAAAGTTGCAAACAGTAGCTTCAATGTAAGGAATGTTCTATTCAGCTGAGTTTTTAGTAGTTTAACTTTTGTGCATTTTTCATAGTAAACATATAAACAAGACGTTAAATAATGTTCAGGTTAATGAACATGGTTAATGAGGTTAATGAGGATCTAAAAGAGATGGAAGAAGTAGGCTTCTCCTCTAGCGTTACCTGTAAGGTAGTATTTATCCTGGAAAGGATCAGGCAGACATGTACTGGGAAGGCATTTAGCTATACGAACTGCAGCTCAGCTGTGTGATTGTGCAGGTCAGACTCTGGTTCCTGAGATTAGGAACTAGGAAACACAAAAAAAAAGAAGGAAAACTGTTCTGAGAAAAAGCATAAAAGCAGCAGGAAGACAAACACCTTGAATCCCAGGGAAGAAAGTTTTATGTAAATATAAGTCATATTTTCTTAGCATTAAGCTCCAGGAGTTGGTCACTCCTTGATTAAGCTGTGTGAAGAATTAGGCCAATTAAATGGAACAAATGGGCTGTTTTATATTGGGACAGCTTGTGACAACATCATTTTAAGTAACTGCAAACTTTTCAAAATATTATACTTATTTATTCATTCTTTCAGTCTCCACGGTCTTCAGTTGAAGGCAAATGGGAGGTCAGGGCTACATGAAAATAACAACCAAGAGCTTCTAGGAAAACACCAAGTTTATCCGTTTCTCAGAAAAGGCAGGCAAATAACCCGTTATTTTTACCGAGACAGAAGTAATTATTGGAGTTCTGTTTGTACAAGGTTTTTTTGGAGATTCTTTTGAAAATCATAACAGGAGGGAAAATAAAAGATTGCCTTTCACCAATAGCTAGGAAACCCTGAAGAAACTATTACTTATCACTGCATAAAAGGAATGCACTCTTCAAGAGATGTCTGCAAGCTGGTCTCCCACTGCTTTGAACCTAATTTGGTTGCAGAGAAACAGAAAAACAATGGCCCTTTCAAACTCAATGTTGCACTGCACAAATCTGCTCTAATGTTAACATGGACCTTTGGCTGCCATCATCACAGTCAGATGTTTTGGAAGTGTTGACTTTCCTGTATTGTTGATAAAATGTTATGAGAGTATTTGTCCAGTGAGTGCTTCATGGCTTTTTTTTCCCCAAAGTTAAGTACATTATCTCATCTGTTTCAGAACATTTTCCTTTCAGACAAACCATATGACATTAGACCGCTGTGAGTATGATTGCTGCCAAGTCTCCTTTGTCTCTTCAATATTTAATTACAAGCCCAAAGAACGACACAAATGTAGGAAACTGTAGTGTGAAAAGCTGTGCTTACTGCAGCCCATTTTTCTCAACAAGGAGAACAACAAAGTCAGAGCAAGGTTTTTAGCTGAGTTGAATGATGAAAATATGATGAAAACTTTTTTTTTCTTTTTTTTTCAAGAATATTCATTCATACTTTCTAGAACTTCAGCTGCTTACACTGATCTGCTTGCCTTCCATGAATTTCACATTTCCCGTCAAGAACATTCATCTTGCAAATGAGATCCCATAGGAGTTATGCTGACCCATGCAGACCCATGTGGCATGGCTGCAGGTGTAACTCCACCACGGCAATGTCAACTCACGTGGGTCTCTCGTCTCCACTCAGCTGTCAAGGTCTGTCTCCTGGAGCAATCTCACACCTGTCACCACTCTGGCCTTGCTCTTGATGTGAGTGTGGTGTGTATTCACTGTGCTGATCCACTGGATCTGAATGAATTCAGGCATGTCCTCATATTCCCCACAAGAAT